ACCACAGTGTGTGACCTGTGTTATCCCCAGGGGAAGTCCATTGACTTTGTGGATGTGAACGAGAGCAACATGCGCTGGATCCAGGACTTCCGAATGAAACCCTACGCAAACCCTGCCAAGCTGGAGTCCATTGATGGTAAGGGCCATCCCCATGTGTGGGGAACAGATCCCAGAATCCCAGCATCATTGAGGTTGGAAAAGACCTCCAAGACCATAGAGTCTAACCTGTGACCCATCACCACCTTGTCAGCCAGAACGGAGCACTGAGTGCTACATCCAGTAGTTCCTTGAACACCTCCATGGATGGTGACTCCATCACTTCCCTGGGCAGTTCCAATGCTTGATATCCCATTCCATCAGGAAATTCCTCCTGATGTCCAACCTGAACCACCTCTCTTAGTGATAGGTTTCAAGAGAAGAATGACAAAAGGCATAAAACATGTGTTTTGAGAGGAATCTGTGGCAACTACAGTTGTTTATTTCTTTTTATGGAAGGGGAAATGCTGGCAACTGCCTTGTCCCATTTATCTTGGATTGGTAATTCTCTTCTAGTATGTATACAATATTTATGTTCTCTCCTATAGTAACAAGTAACACACTATGTTGTTACTTGTTAAAACCAAAGATTTTGCTGAAGCAGGTGAAGACATAACAAGTTGTTAGTTTTGCCCGGCTCATTGGAAATGTGTATTCTTTGCCCTATGAAGGAGCTTTTTCTCTACTCCACATAGCTCTATTAGTCTCTTCAGTTCCTTTTTGACTGATTTATGTAGTAGTGTCTTCATTTTTCCCACTCTTCAGTGGATTTATGCTCAGACTCATTGGTTTGTTACTTGTGTCCTTCCCTTCTGCTCAGGGGCTCGATACCATGCCTTGCTGATCCCAAACTGCCCTGGGGCTCTGACTGACCTTGCCAACAGTGGGTACCTGGCCAAGATCCTGCAGCACTTCAGCACTGAGAGCAGTAGGTTTGGTTTGGTAAATAAAATAGTGATTCTGAGCTGTGCCTGTGAGACTGTTGCCTTCCAGTGGCTTAAAAATGTTTGTGTAGTTAGAGAGATTTCAGAACTGGGAAGTGCTGCTGGAAAGAAATGTAGCTTCTCTTGAATAGTGTCTCAGAAAGTAAATGTCTTAAAAAGAAACTTGAAAGAAGGATCTCAAAAAGTGTCTCAGAAAGAAAAAAGGGTGTCCAAAAGGGATAAAAGGGTCTTAAAAAGTAATGCCAGAACTTTTCAATGCTTTTCTCACGAAAGAATTCCCTGCCTTGTAGTGATACAGCAATGTCTCTGTCCAAATCAGCAGTATTCAAGGCTCAGAGCCACTTTTGGAATTACCAGGATCATCATTAAGGCTGTAGTTAATCAAGACTTTGGGTGTGCTTCGCATCTGAGTATGTGTTTTTTTCTCTTTGGTGCTGTCTGTGGACTTGGAGTTATAAGCTATTAATTTCTTGCAAGACTGGAGCAATTCTTCATGTTAGTATTCTTCAATAGTAATAGTTGTTATAGCCAAAAATTATATGTGGGAAAGAAAGCCCTTGGAGCCTAACCCGATGTAAACAGTGCAACAAATGTTACTGCAGGAGGGGAGGGCAGCATGCTGTGACCTGGTTCTCAGCACACTTAGCTGTGTTTTGGCTCTCTGAAGATGCTCCAACACAGTTTGATTTTTCCCCAGAGCCAATCTGTGCCATTGGACATGGAGTAGCAGCATTGTGTTGTGCCACCAACGAGGATAAATCCTGGGTTTTTCAGGGATACAGCCTGACAGGGGTAGGTTGAGCTTGCACCTGATTTTTAGCTGTTTCCCATATTCATTCCACAGTGGATTTCTGTTATTTGGCTGCTGCAGGTGGCACAGAATCTGTGTCCAAGTATTTGTGTCCCACAGCCAGACAGGTCTGCACTTCCCTGAGTTAATTGCATGTGCAGAAATTGTTTGAGTGTTTTTCTTTATTTATCTCATTTAAGAGTTTTCAGTTTGCTCCCTACAGAAAATCCATGGAAGCTGCTTGTGGTCATTTGGCTGGGAGAACAGAGGGAACAGAAATATAAATTGCAGGGGAAATGTGTTGATTTTGCTTGGCTTTTCCTGTAAAAAGCCAAACAGACTTAATTCCCTTTGCTCTTTTCCAGCCCTCTGTGTATGAACTGGTGAGGCAGCCGAATTTTCCCAGTTTGTCCATTATTGTAGAAGACTTTGTGAAAGATTCTGGAGCTACATTTAGTGGTAGGTCACTCCTGGTGTTTGGGGCTTCACATGTTGTGTCTGCCTTGTGGAAATGAGTGTTTGTGTGCTAATTTTACCAGCTGAGCAGGACTCTGCTGGGATACCTCATCCAGCATTCCCATTTTGTTATTGACTGGTATATTACTAGTAATTTTCCAGGCTGGGTTGGATGGGACTTGGAGCAACCTGTGCTAGGGGAAGGTGTCCCTGCCCTTCATGGGGTGAAACTGGATGGGCTTTGAGGTCCCTCCCAGCCCAAACCAGTCTGGGATTCTGTCTGGAATGAGGTAACTTAAATTGTAGTTGGGTTACTGAACAGTGGTAGATGGAAACATATCAGAGTATTATAATTGGCCAGAAAATAAGATCTTCTTTCTAGGAAAATTGTTTCAGGGTTAGGGGCTTGAGACAATCTCTGTGTGTTGGGGTTATGGATCAGCACCCAGCAGGTGTGGTCAGGATAGTTAGCTGTTGTGTCAGTTCTGTCAGTGATGTGATACAGACACTGAACTCCTGTCCACTCACACAATCCTTGTTGTTCCCATGCCCAGCCAGCAGCCCTGATGCTGTCCATGTGGTGCTGGACAGGCACCTGGTGACGGGACAGAATGACAATTCCACTCTTCCTGCTGTCCAGAACCTCTTCATTCTTTGCAATGTCAGGTAAGGCAAGATGGGGAGAACTGGGAACAGCCAGTGCTGAGAAGCTTTTAGTTTCAGGAGTATTGTCCTTCCAAATAGGATTTTCCCCTTGGTTACCTACTGAAGTGTCATTTTTGTTTGTTAAGCAGTTGTGTCTTTTGGTAAAAAGCATTTGATAATTAAAGAAGAAAGGTAAAATGTGTAGGGAGAGGCACAGCTATAGTGGAACTGCTAAAGGAGAAGGCACAGTAGGCTTCACTAAACATTTCTGTGAAGACAAAACAGCTTAAAATTTGGTGTCATTTTGTCCTTGGGCATTTTAGCACTGAGTCAGCTGTGTGTTAGGATTCTGGGAATGGGTTTAATTTCCTTGGGATGGCTTGGTTGTTGGACTGTCACCTTGTCAGACAGAAGGACAGATATAAATAACACCAAAATCTTCTTGTTCAGGTGAATGTGTGTTGAGTCCTGTCCTGGCTGTGGACTAACAGGTGCTGTCATGTCTGGATGTGTTTCCT